ACTCACACCGGTACATCAATGATTTCCAATAATGTTTTATTACGTGATGTACTCGTTATTCCTAATCTCACCAAGAAGCTGTTATCTGTTAGCAAACTAACCATGTACTATCTGGTTGATGTATTATTTTCTCAACCATTTTTCTCCATTCAGGACCGAAAAACCAAACAGATTCTAGCTAAAGGGAAGAGTGAGAATGGACTCTATATTCTTAAAGATGGCCCTCAAGCTCTCCTTGCAAGTCACAGTGTCTCTAATTCGGCCTCATATGAGTTATGGCATACTCGTCTTGGGCATGTTTCTTTTGATACAATTTCTGTTTTGAATATATTGGGTGTTTTGTCTTTAACTTTGGTTTTACCTAAACCTAATATTTGCACGTCTTGTCAACTTTCTAAGAGACATAGATTACCTTTTGAACTCAATACTAAACGTGCTCTGCATCCTCTAGATATAATACATTGTGACTTGTGGGGACCTTCTCCCATTTGTTCTGGTGATGGTTATCGGTACTATGTCATTTTTGTGGATGACTATTCTCATTTTACTTGGTTTTATCCTCTCCAAACAAAGACAGGTTTTTACTCGATTCTGTCAACCTTTATCAACCTCGTTCAAACCCAATGTTCACGAAAAATCGAAGTATTTCAAAATGATGGTGGGTTTGAATTTGTAAATCATACGGTTCTCAAGATCTTCGACGACAATGGCACTCTTCATCATCTCTTGTGTCCTTACATGCCTCAACAAAATGGGCGTGCGGAACGCAAACATAGACACATCGTCGAAACGGGTCTCACCATGTTATTTAGTGCCAACATCCCTGCAACCTATTGGGTAGATGCTTTTAGCTCCGCCACATTCATCATCAACCGTTTACCCACGAAACTATTGGACAATATTAGTCCATTTCAGTTGCTTTTCTCCCAACCTCCACAATACAGTCACTTTCGTGCATATGGTTGCCAAGTCTTCCCTTGTCTACGAGTTTTCTCTCCACATAAACTTGCTCCACGAAGCCTTCCGTGTATCTTCATTGGGTACGGTTCTCAATACAAGGGGTATAAGTGTCTTGATCCAGTTACTTCTCGCATTTATATTACACGTCATGCTCGCTTCAATGAAAGTGTATTTCCATTTACTAGATCTTCCGGCCCATCTGATTTGTCCACTTTGGATTTATCAACCTTCCTTGAAGACACTCCGAGGCCTTCTCCACCTCCACAGAAATCTGCTCCGCCCTCTCGGATCGACGCTCTGCCTACCACTCAATGTACCTTATGCAGATCTACAAGTACTTTCGACTTAATACCCGGATCTCCCTCCATGGGGACCACCGCCTCACCACCCATTACACCGACAGTCTCCGTCCAATCCGCAAATCACTACCGAAGCCCCTACTGCCACCGCTACCGATCTTACCCCCTCCCACCCCACCACTTCCTCTTTACATCCTATGGCCACTCGAGCAAAGGATGGCATTTTCAAACCAAAGCATATTGCGGATCTTGCTTTTCTCACCACGAACCCTCTACAATATGCTCTCTTCGCTACCATTGAGGCCCATGGGTTTAAGTCGGCTGCCAAAAATCCTAAATGGATGGCTGCCATGCAAGAGGAGATGGACGCTTTGAAACATAACAACACATGGACTCTTGTCCCTCGCCCCGCGTCGTCAAACGTTGTTGGCTCTAAATGGGTATATCGTATCAAATACAACTCCGATGGCTCCATTCATCGGTTTAAAGCTCGTTTAATGCCCAAGGTTTCACGTAGATACCGGGGTTAGACTATTCTCACACGTTCAGTCCGGTGGTCAAGGTTGCCACCGTACGCATCGTCCTATCTCTTGCTGTGTTAAATGGATGGAAATTGCATCAACTAGATGTTAAAAATGCCTTCCTAAATGGAAACTTATGTGAGACAGTCTTTATGGAGCAACCTCTCGGCTTCAATGATCCTCAATATCCAACTCATGTATGCAAGTTGTCAAAAGCTCTATATGGCTTAAAACAAGCTCCACAAGCATGGTTTCACCGACTGAGTACGTTTCTTACCACCTATGGCTTTATGTGTAGCCGTGCTGACACCTTTCTTTTTGTCTACACACAAGATTCTTGCATCATGTACTTGCTCGTCTACGTTGACGATCTTATCCTCACTGGCAACAATGAGCATCTTATTACTACTTTTATTTCACAGCTCAATCATGAATTTGCTACCAAAGATCTAGGAGATCTTAATTACTTTTTGGGACTTGAGGTTGCTTACACTGATGATGGCTTATTTTCATCCCAAGCAGTATGCACGCGACATTCTTCAACGAGCGGGTCTTCTTGAATCCAAAGCCGTTCCTACACCTCTTGCTCCTCATGAGTCTTTTACTTCCGCTGGCAACTTGTTCTCTGATCCAACTTTATATCGATCCCTTGTTGGTGCTCTCCAATACTTGACCATTACGAGACTTGACTTATCTTACTCTGTCAATCAAGTCAGTCAATTTCTTCATGCTCCCACCATTACTCATTACCAGTCAGTCAAAAGGATCTTGCTATGTCAAAGGGACGTTGTCTTTTGGTCTCTCGTTTACTCGTCCACACAAAAGCACTTTTCTAGGATATTCAGATGCTGACTGGGCACGCTGTCTTGAGACTCGTCGCTCAACTTATGGCTACTCTATATTTCTTGGTGGCAACCTCGTTTCTTGGAGTGCTAAGAAACAACCTACTGTCTCAAGATCCAGCTGTGAATCTAAATATCGTGCCATGGCAAATGCTGCTGCTGAAATTGTCTGGATCACTCACCTGTTACGAGAATTACTTGCCTTACCGCCTGATCGTCCAACCATTTTATGCGACAACAAAAGTGCCTTGTTTCTCACTCAAAATCCGGTCTCTCATAAGCGAGCAAAACATATTGATCTTGACTATCATTTTATTTGCGAACTTGTTTTATCTGGCAAACTGTATACCAAGTTCGTACCAACCAATCTTCAGGTCGCTGACATCTTCACCAAGAGCTTGCCAAGATCTCAATTTGAAACACTTCGTGTTATGCTCAAGCTTAGTCCATCGCCCTTTCGATTGAAGGGGGGTATTAGCTAAATAAATGTATTTTTAGAAGATATTGTTTTCTTGTAATGATCGTGTAAATCTTCCTTGATTAAAGGAGAGTCTGTTGTAATCTCCTTCTATATATTGGTAACGTACTCACCACAATTTGTGTGGTTGATTTTACAAGATTCTATATTGATTTCGTGTGTGGATTGTGCAATCTACTATCGTATGTTCTTGATTCTTGAAGGTTTAGGTTATTCGTGTCTTGATTTGCTTATATCACTTGCATGTGCTGAAAAATATGGTTGCAGGGGATATCCCAGCAGCCACCTCTGAGGATGTTGATTTTGCCGTGGAAGTAGCTCGTAGAGCTCTTAAACGGAATGGAGGGAAAGAGTGGGCTTCAGCTTCTGGAGCACATCGTGCGAAGTATCTGCGTGCCATTGCTGCAAAGGTGTGTGTTCAGTTTTCTTACGAATACCTGTATCAAGCTTTGGGTAAAAAGGGTGGGAATAGAAATCATCTGTGTAATTCTAACTATTGATTTATAATTTATTCAAATATAAAGCATATGATTTCAGAAATTGTGATCAATTTTGATGAGTTCTTCTAAAGATTGTACTTTGTTGCGAGTTCCTCAAAAGAAGTTATCTCAAAAAAGATTTTCTTGTATTTGTATTTATCATGTCATGAGCCTATCATTACTGAAAAACAAGCGCAGAAAAACTTATCCTTATTTGGATGTAGATGTGATGTAGCTTTCTTGTGGCTTTTGTTAAGCGTCCCCTTCAACTGAATTTGGTTTGTTTTTGAACTTTTCATTAATGGTTACAAGCTTTTATTCATGTGCAGATAATTGAGAAAAAATCTGAATTGGCAAGACTTGAAGCCATTGATTGTGGAAAACCACTTGATGAAGCAGCATGGGATATAGTATGTCCATTGCATTTAATCATATTGTTATTGTTTTCGTAAACCTATAACCTGTTAATTCCTTTGTCATTCAGGATGACGTTGCTGGATGTTTTGAATATCATGCTGATCTTGCTGAAGCTTTAGATGCAAAGCAAAATGCATCCATTGCTCTTCCAATGGATACATTTGAATGTCATGTCATTAGGGAACCTATTGGTGTTGTTGGGCTGATTACTCCATGGTACTCTCTTCTCTCTCTGTCTCTCTCTACACAGCTAAGTTTTTTATATAAGTATATAATATTTTATATTCGACAACTCACACACACCACTCACTTTTGGTGAGACTTGAACCCTTGACCTCCGGGGAGGTTGGGCGGAGGTCAAGGGCTCTACCGACAACCCAAATACCATTGGGTCAATGACCCTTCGGTAAAGAGGTTGTTTTCGTGACTCTAGTCTGCGACCTGCCAGTAAAAAACAGTAGCCTCCTTATCTCCGGTGATCTGTGTTTTGACAAAACAAGATTTGGATTTTAACTTGAATCATTGAGAATTTAGTTGTGTAAAGTTCTTAAAATTAGCAAGGACCTATTTGCCATCAGTTGCAATCTTAAGCCATTCGATCTTGCAAATATTTTTTTTTTGTTATAATCAATTAAGCCTATTCTTCTATAGGAATTACCCAATGCTAATGGCTACGTGGAAAGTTGCGCCTGCCCTGGCTGCTGGGTGTGCTGCGATTCTTAAGCCATCAGAACTGGCATCAGTGTAAGTCTTTATTGATGCCGCTCTTTGCATCCCTGGTTTTTGCTACCCTTGTATTTATCATTTGCTATTCAACTCCAGCACCTGCCTGGAATTAGGTGAAGTATGCAGGGAGGTGGGTCTACCCCCTGGCATTCTCAATATTCTGACTGGATTAGGTCCAGAAGCTGGTGGTCCTTTAGCTTCTCATCCCGATGTTGATAAGGTATATTTGGTATTTCTTTAATACTTCACTCTTCATCTTTTGATTCAACATATATCATTCCGATTTGTAATCCGAAATGGTATTCCAACAATGTCACGGTCCTTAACAGATTGCCTTTACGGGAAGCAATGCCACAGGGAGCAAGATTATGATTGCTGCAGCTCAAAATGTCAAGGTACCTCTTTGAAAATTAAGAAAAGAAAATTCATCATGTGACTGTTGAATTAACCTTGGATATCTTTCTCTTATATCATCATTGAGTTATATTTGTTTGGCAGCCTGTTACACTTGAGCTTGGTGGAAAGAGTCCAATAGTTGTGTTCGATGATGTTGACATTGATAAAGGTTTGTTTTCTGCAGCATAAGTTTTACATCGGTCTGTCTTGGCTAAGCGATGAAATTAAATACTCCTCCGTCCCAAAGTAAATGCCTATAATGAAAAGGCACATAGTTTTAGAAATGTGTAACTATTACACTTTTTAATTAACTAAATGACATTTGTACTCTTAATGCTAATAATGAATTCATCCATCTCATAATTTAGAGTAGAATTGGAAAATAGACACTTACTTATGAAAGTGGACAATTATTCTGGGACAAACTAAAATAGAAATGTTGACACTTATTTTAGGACGGAGGGGCTGTTTTAAACCTTTTAATAATGGACCGCCTTTTCATCTATTGCACTTTGTACCTCTATTGTTAAATTGTAACTAGCTAGTACAGAACAGTTATGTGATTATCTCGTGCGCTGTAATTGAATTTCTTATAGCAAGTTTATGCTTTCTGTTGGAACAGCTGTTGAATGGGCACTCTTTGGTTGCTTCTGGACCAATGGGCAAATTTGCAGTGCAACATCTCGCCTTATTGTGCATGTAAGTATGTAGTGGTGATCCCAGGTGTGATCTTTGGACTGCTTAAGCATTCTGCACATCGTCATCTAACAATTGCTATCTCTTTTGTCTATTGCCCTGCAAGATTGGACCCTTCAAGTATATAGCATCATAAAATGTAATTTATTAAGAATGTGATGGGAACTTCATTTTCATGAACCACCAATACTTATATCTAGAACTCTATAAATGTTGAAATTCCTTTAGATGGTACACTTTTTATGTAACCCTCTGAAACTCATCGTGGTTGGTTTTCTGCCCAACAAATGCATATTGATATCCTGACTATGCATGATTGTCCATGACAAAAAGGTTAAAAGATATTTATTCTGTTTTTGCTTAATATTTAATGGATCATGATTATGTTGGTGCTTCAGGAAAAAATTGCTGCGGAGTTTTTAGACAAGCTTGTGAAGTGGGCTAAAAACATCAAGATTTCGGATCCATTGGAGGAAGGTTGTAGGCTTGGACCTGTGGTTAGTGGTGGACAAGTAAGAAAGGAATTATTTACCGTCTCTTGTAAATTCTAATGTCAGAAAGAAAATTCCTGTCTATTGTAGAGTAGTAAATACGAAAATCTCTGTTAAAATTTATGTTAGAGAAAATTGGTTACGGGATGTCATAAAAATTTCTGTTATCAAGGGAAAATGGGAAATTATATCAATAACAAGTTGTTTCTAAATTAATAGGATACAACTAGAAGAGATATGTTATCAACTCCCGATGTTACTATGGAGTTATTTTCAAATGAAAGCAATAGAAAAGAAGCAAAATATGATCAAACTTTTTTTTTATTAACCTGGATATCCAACCCGCTATGCGAGCCGACTAATCCCAGGGCGACCACCCGCTTTGTGGGTAGGCCGGAGTCATCACATTTGAACCTCGGTGGCCACAAGGGGATTTTTTATTCCTCCTTGGATTTGAACCTATTTGATACATGGTCTGTTTAGTTAAACTTGGCCTCATGCCGTTCGTAGCTGCAATGAATCATCTCTAAATCATTCTATGTTTCAGTACGAGAAGATCTTGAAGTTTGTTGAAACGGCCAGAAGGGAAGGTGCAACCATTTCGTTTGGAGGGAAACGTCCCCAGGTACGACTCTAATCTTAAGCAGACTGCTTCATTTCTCCAGTTAAGTTGGGAACTTACATATTTTATAATATATGTCAGCATTTGAAAAAGGGTTTCTATATCGAGCCAACCATCATCAGTGATGTTACGACATCCATGCAAATTTGGAGAGAGGAAGTATTTGGACCAGTTCTCTGTGTAAAAACATTCGCAACAGAAGAAGAAGCGATCGAACTAGCAAATGACACCCAGTGAGTTTAACTTCTTTCTCTGAAAACCCATAAAAACACTGTTTTTAGTTGAGCTCTTACATATGGGTTTTTATGCTAGTTTTCAAAATTTTGATACCTATGTTATTTGTAACAGTTATGGCTTGGGTTCTGCTGTAATATCCAACGATTTGGCCCGCTGTGATCGTGTAACAAAGGTAATAGCAAGTTACAAAAAACTTCCTTAAAAAACCCTTTTTCTATAAAAAGGATGGGTTTTAATTATAGATATGTAAAATCATAAGCATGAAAACATCGCTCTACTCTTTGGGGTAGAGTTTTGGTCTGCATAGATCTCACCCTCCAGACACCATCTCCAAGTGAGATTTATTGGGCTCGTTTGGTTTGATTAGATTTAGCGAACGTATATGCTGTTGTGTTTTGTAGGCTTTTGAGTCAGGTATCGTGTGGGTGAACTGCTCGCAGCCATGCTTCTCTCAAGCTCCATGGGGTGGCAGAAAACGAAGTGGTTTTGGTCGTGAACTAGGAGAATGGTAACAAATTTTTGCATTCTATGACTTTTTTATCTTTTGGGTAGAGGAAACAACTCCTCTGCTCTTTTGGGTACATGTCAGATCTGCATACCTCCCAGTTCTCACCCCTCAAACGGGATATTATATTGGTCTCGTTTGGTTTTGTTGATAACTTGGCATTTGTTTCCAGGGGCCTGGACAACTACTTAAACATAAAGCAAGTAACGCGCTACATCTCTAACGAACCCTGGGGGTGGTATCAGCCTCCAACGGCCAAGCTTTGAGAATACCACGAGTGTAACGGGTCACGAGATGCGCAGATGATCGTAAATTTGTGTTCCGTCGATACGTTGTACTCGTATAATATATAAAAAGTTGTTGAATATTTGTTTAAATTTGAAGCAAGTAAAGATTGGTTTATTAATTTAAGTGGGTGTGATGTTCTGTCAAATGCGTGTTCTTAGGTTCTTAAGCAAAGTGGTTGCTTCTGATTGTAATTAATTGCTGGATTCCGAACCTTTTGCATCTTGTCTTCTAATTGCTCACGTGAATCTTATATTTGAAATATATCATTTGATAATTTAATTATTAAATAAGAAAATGGTTTTGAGCCAAAAAAATAATTGTAAAATAGTGTGGTGGATTGATGATTGCTACCGACTTATTCATTTTTTAATGTTTTGCAATGCTTGAATTCTCTAACTCATCAATTTTATTATTACTAATTAAATATTTAATAATTAAATATTTAAAATATTTTCTTTAACTCCTTTTATCCCACGATGAAAAAGACGAGAGAAAAGTGTCTACAATGAAAAAAAGACATAGAAACAATGTTAAAAAAATGTAACTATTAGATTTTTAGTAAATTAAATGTCAATTTTATCCTAAATAAAAGATGGAGTAATTTACCAAAGGACCTTTGATTTAGAGGTATGTGAGTATTTGACTTCCTAGAAGGTCAGAGGTTCAAACTTCACAAAAGATGAAGAGAGTATATGAGTTTATTTGTTCTATTTACTGTATATAAATATTATATACTTAAAAATAATTGAAGTAGTTTTCTTCAACTTGCAACTAATGGAATAAAACTACCATCCTTTAAATAGCAAAAGAAATTTAGAAATTGACAGATTGAACCATAGATATATATTGGGAAAAGTTTAAAAAAACTCAATGGACTTTAGTGTTTGGAATGATTAAGTATTTGGACAATTTTTTGGAACAAGTGAGTTCTTGGACATTCCAGAACATGTTAAATAACTCTTTGGACTTTCTAAAATTTGTTAGATACACCCTTATGACCTATACAATTGGTTAATGTGATAAAATAATGGAAAAAGTCTGAAAAATAACTCAACATACTTTCATATTTTGAACGATTAAGTCCCTAAACATTTTGACTTATATCTAATTGATGGCTAACTTGAACACGGTTATATGCTCTAATACAATAACATGTTATAGGTGTGAACGATCGTGTTTGAATCTTGTCGGTCATATTATTTCACTAATGGATTAGCGACGAATTTTAATTAATTATGTATTTAGTTAAATTTTATCATTAATCCGTCAGTAATTTAAACAAATTATTTTTTAATTTAAAAAATCGCCAAGGAATATATTTTATTTTTAATCAAAATAAATTTCATCAGTAATCATTTTTAAATCTTTTTTTATTTTTTTACTTTAAAAAATCACATTGTTTTAATCGTGGTCTTCGATCATAAAAATGGATGATGTAATTATTTTTTAATTTATCAATAGCATTATGGAAGCAAGCATTAATAGTTTTAACTGCAGATGAAAATTATTGCGTTGAACGCAAAAAAATGCAAAAGAGGAATACACGACTCTAAACTTATAAGCAAATGGTTAACCAGATTGATGATAAATATTATAAATATAATAAATATAAAAGACAATAATTTGCTTTTTCAATGCTTTATTTAATTCATTTTTGATTCAATATCAGTCATGATTCAATTATTAACTATGGATGGTTAACAAAACTGATAAACCAACCAAGCCTTTGAATCATCGTCCACCAAGAACACTGTTAAGAAGGCCGCCAATGATTGGTTCTGGTTTTGGTTCAGGATCAGCTGTAAATAAAACGACAAAATACATATCAATTAGTTAATTACTTGAATATTGTCTAGCAATGAATACTAACCGTAAGCCATGGCGACAACTGAGGCAAGAGCGGCGATGTAAACGATGATGGTTCGGGCTTCCATTGTTTTGTTTGTTGGGTTGGTGATTAACACAAGTTAATTGAAAGTTAGTTTATTAGAGTTGTTTACTAGTTTGATAGCAAGAATTGAATGATTTAATTGAACAATTTTTATCTCTTTTATACGATTTCTGATGCTACGTTTCAATCATCTTTAACCTTTACTTTCCATGATTCTTNATTTAATCAGTAGTATTTTTTAAATCTTTTTTAATTTGAAAAATCACTGACATAATATATTTTATTTTTAATTAAAATAAATCATTTTTTAGATGTAAGTATTTTTTTGTAAATATAAGTAATTTTTTGTTTTCATTTTATAGATGTAAGTATTTTTTTGGTTCAAAAAATGTTTAGAGACTTAATCGTTCCAAATATGAAAGTCTATTGGGTTTTTTTTCCAGACTTTTTCCTTTATTTTATCACATTAACCAGTTGTATAGGTCATAAGAATATATCTAACAGGTTTTAGAAAGTCTAAGAAGTTATTTAACATGTTTTGAAATGTCCAAAAACTTATTTGTTCCAAAAAATTGTCGAGAGACTTAATCATTCCAAACAATAAAGTCCATTGAGTTTTTTTTAGACTTTTCCCATATATATTTTCAAAATTATCAAAATATAAATTGTTAAACACACACTTTTCATATTATAAATCCTTAATTATGTATTTCATTTAAAAGAGAATTGAATAAATATACCATTTTTTGCAACAAAATTGTATCTTAAATAATATCAGTTTTGAATATTTATATACATCTTTATATGGAGTGGGTTAAATGCATTCTTATATATTGTTAAGAATATCTCCAACAGCTTCTTATCTAAATATCTAAAACTTGATGGTGGGAGAGAGAAATGATTATTTTATTCAATTCTTATAATGAGATTGAGTTATTATTTTTTTATAATTTTTTTTAAAAGTGTATTAGAATCATAAATTAGAGAATATTATAATAACATAATTTATGTTAAAATCTTTAAAATAGAGAATCTGTTGGATATGAATGTAATTTTTTAAAGAAAATTTATGTTTTAGTTCCCTGTTAAAATCTCTAAATATATCCTTGCTGTTATATTTCTTCCTCACACATGTTAATATCAAAACCTATTTTTGATTCTGACGTACAAAAGAGGGTAAATAGCAATCCTGGTTATATAGGTCAAAATCGAGTCAAGTCATAGGTTGAAAATGTAAAAACTGGTTATTAATGTATATCAGGAGGATTTTAACATGTACAGGTGTATTTAACATCTCCAACAAATTCCTCAAAATTTCTTCAAAATGGATAAACAAAAATCAAAATCTCTGGAAAAAAAAATTACATTTATCTCTAACAGATTTCTCATTTTAGAGAATCCAACATTGATTATAATATTAATTTTTTTTATTTATCTAACTAAATATTTATTTTTAAAGTTTCTTATTGGTGGTCTCGATTGGTAATCATTTTTGGGGTTAACTCTGTATCGGGAAAAAAAAACCCTCATCTCTCATACTTTCTCCATTTTGGAGATAGTTTTAGGAAAACTGTTGGAACAAAATATCGGTTTAAAATCCTCATTTTCTCCATTTTTTACATTTGGGAGAAGTTGTTATAGAGCATCTCTAACAAAATTCTCCAAAATTGAGATTTTAAGAATTTTTGCTCTAACATATTCCTAAAACCTTCTTTAAAATGGAGAAAATATGAGAGAATTGATGAAATTCTCCAAATTCGAAGAACTTTTCAAAAACCATTAGAGCATCTCCAGTAAATTCTCCAAATGAAGAACCAAAAGTCAAAATCTTCAAAAAAAAAATACATTTATCTCCAATAGATTCTCCATTTTAGAGAATTCAAGACTGATTATAATATTAAAATATTATTTCTCTTTTTAAATATTTATTTTCAAAGTTCTTATTGGTAAAATATATTAAAAAATATTTCTTTCAAATGATAATTATTTTGGGGTTTTTCATATTTAGAGGGAAAAAAAATTCTCTTTCCTATTTTCTTTATGTTGAAGATAATTTTAAGATGGAATCTGTTAGAACACAAAAATGGTTCAAAATTTTATAAAAAAAAAAAGAAATAATATTTTATAAAATGTATTAAATAATTTAATAATATAATTTATATACAAACATTTAAAACAAAGAATTAACATAATTATTATTAATTTATAAGGTTGTTTGGTATATTAATTTTTTTTAATTAACCTGGATATCCAACCCGCTATGCGAGTCAATTAATTTTAGTATGGCCACTTGCTTTGCAGATAGCCTAAAATCATTGCATTTGAATTTTCATGACCATAAAAGGATTCTTATTTCTTCTTGGATTTAAACCTGTAACCTGATGGTATTTTAACCTTTACCATCGTTCCGTTGTGGTTGGTTGTTTGATATTTTATGGTAAGTTTAGAGGTGTAAAAATGTTAAATTCGGATCCCGAAAGTGTCGGCTTGTTGGGTAAGCGGGCCCCGAATCTGGCCATCGAGATAGACCATGTGCTGGGCGTCGTAGTCCCAGATCCAGTGATCGCTTCTATTTCATTTCTCTCAATATCTTGACTGCCATATCCTCCGCAAATTCATAATCCATACGCTATATTCTCATCTCAATTCTGGAAATTCAAGTGTAATTTGGTTCAGAACACTTGTTGTGCTACTAGTGAGGGAAATCTAGATAGAGTATGGGGATGACGAGCATGGATGAGAGAGCTGTTGCTGTGATCATGGTTGGTGGTCCCACCAAAGGTATCCTCAATTCCTTTTGATTTACTTCAATTGCTATCATCATGTCAATATCTTTACCATTTTTCATCATCTTTGCTCAATATAGCTCCAGTTGGATTCTTTGGATCTCATTCACTGCTGTAGCAGTTAAAATTCAAATTGTTTCGGATGGAATGTTGTTATAGGACATTTCACGATCCGAATCTACTGTTGGTTAATTTTTTTGTTTGGAAGAAGATCATGTGCTCAAGTTTACTACCCGATGTGTGTTTCAAATTTCTAAGTGGATTTGATTGTGAAATGGAGAGACAATTTTTCTCTTCTTTTGTAATAGATGTTGATGATTCTTATGAATCTTCTTCTTTTTGTCAATTCATGTTTGGACATGTGGTTGGTTTTTAGGTACTCGATTCAGGCCATTGTCACTGAATATTCCAAAGCCGCTTTTCCCCCTGGCAGGACAGCCAATGGTTCACCATCCAATCTTTGCCTGTAAAAGGGTATGCTTTTAAGTAATACTCAACAGAAGCCCCACTCAATTGATTGTTATTAATTTTGGCCGTAATTTTATATTGGAAAGTGTAAATTTGGATCATGAATTCATGGTAACAAAGTTTGTTGATGGAAAGTATACTCCAAGTCTTATGTATAGTTGTTTCTGTCATAGATACCAAACCTAGCACAGATCTATTTAGTTGGTTTCTATGAGGAGCGTGAGTTTGCCTTGTATGTATCCTCTATCTCGAATGAGCTGAAAGTCCCTGTGAGGTAACTTCTGAACCTTTTCTTCTTGGTAATTAGCCTTACTTTTAATGGTGTTGAAGTGGAAGCCAATTTTCCATCTTGGTTTTCTGTTTTGCTTTTGGATTATCCTAAAATAGATACTTGAAGGAGGACAAGCCACATGGGTCTGCGGGTGGACTATACAATTTCAGAGATCTCATCATGGAAGATAATCCGGTTTTAACCTTCACCTTCTCATTCTCAAACTTGATTGTGTGTTTGTGTTCATTAGGAGAAATATAAATGAAAAATACCATCTTTCCAAACCCCTATGGATTGATTCTGTGTTTTTATCCTGACAGTCGCACATCTTCTTGCTGAACTGTGATGTTTGCTGCAGTTTCCCATTACCTGCAATGCTTGGTACATTTTCTTTTCTCAACCTCCATTTTCAGAACCTGATCTGGGACTAGAAACATTCTTTAATCTATCCTATATATAGTAGCTCTTGATAGTAATTTTGAATGTCTAAATGACTCGTCCTAATATACACTTCATACTTTTATAGAGGCTCATAAAAGATATGGTGGGATGGGAACAATCCTCGTAATTAAGGTTGGTGTGGTTTCTACAAGAGTTCCTTGGAAAGTAGAAACCATTTGTTCAAGGCATCTTTTTTTCTTACTTGGCAATCGCATTCTGCTTTGTTGTGTAGGTTTCCCCTGAATCAGCGGACCAATTTGGGGAGCTGATAGCTGATCCTAGTACCAATGAATTGCTGCATTATACAGAGAAACCTGAAACTTTTGTATGTACAAGAATAAAGTCAACCACTTTGCTTGTTAAACAGATGACATTATTATTTGCATCAAATGTTATTTCCCTTTTGGTTAAATGTTGCATCTGATCTACAGGTAAGTGACCGGATAAATTGTGGTGTTTATGTATTTACGCCAGAGATCTTTACTGCCATTCAGGGTGTTTCTACACAGCGAAAAGACAGAGGTTAGTAATAAGGACTTAGCAGTACATAGATACTATTTGCGTAATTCTGTTATTGCCGTATGGCCTCACTTAGATCCTGATTTACCTCTGGTTTTACACATCCCCATTTATTTATAACACTTAAATGTGTGGCAAACTTGAAAGGTATGATCTATATAAGTTACTTTCTCCTTTAAGATGACAATATGTGTAAAATGTTCATTTCCTAAGTTGCTTGCTGAGAACCAGTAGCTATACAATAATTGACTAGTTGTCTTGTAAAAGTTCTATAATATTGGCATGCAATTCCCTGCTAATAAATGTACACTAGATGTTACCAATGCCCCAGTTGGTCCTATACATGTGACCCGCTATCAGGAAAAGAATTGCAATAGCTAAATGATGGTGTGCAGTATCGGTTAGCCTACATGTACTCAGACACAACAATAATTAATATGTCCGATTATTTATATGTTTTTTCAACAATCTGCCATATTGCATCATTTAATGGACTTCCTGTAAACATAGATTATCCTTTCTTTAGATATTCGTATCAAAGTCAGTGTCCATGTAACTTCATAATCGATCCTAGAGTAAGTATTTTCTAGATTTTAAGTGACATTTTCACCTTTGTAGCATCATGCAGCCTGAAATCTTACATTTTGATGCCTTACAGCTAATCTAAGACGTCAATCCAGCTTTGAAGCCCTACAGTCAGCAACAAGGTACTACTTTACTGACTCAGGATCATAAGAAAGTTGACCACTTGACCAGGCCTTTATAAAATGTGCAGTACTTTTTTCTTTTTTGTGTAACTTATGCCTCCCCATTTTTGGATTGAAGACAAAATTGAGTAATTGATAGAGAAAGAAGTTGTGATCTTGTTATGTAAATAAAAACTTGGGGTTCTAAAAGTTGATATCAGTAGTTTTATTTCTTTCAATGTTCCATCCTGATACAAGTACATCTGACAGGAGTCTTCCTGCAGATTTTGTAAGATTGGATCAAGATATATTATCACCTCTTGCAGGAAAGAAGCAGTTGTATACATATGAAACCATGGATTTTTGGGAACAAATAAAAACACCCGGGTAAGCATCCGTCACAAGTGTTCGTAAAAGATTCTTTAGCCGAAAAACCAAACCGGCCTCTAATGCGGCTATCAACCCTTGTTCACGTTTACACAGAATGTCCTTGAAATGCTCTGGCTTGTATCTTTACCAGTTTCGGTACACCTCACCCGATCTTTTGACCAATGGGGATGGTACAAAGAGTGCCACCATAATTGGTGATGTCTATATTCACCCATCAGCAAAAGTTCATCCAACTGCAAAGGTATTGCACCTCTCTTTTACGGGTCCATCTCTATTTTGTTGGTTTCATTACAATATGTTAAGATCTAAGTTGCATTTGGGGAGGAGAGTATTTTGTAACAAATCCCAATATAGACTACAAAAAATGTTCATTTCATACAATGCCATTTTAATCTCTAGTATGACAAGCATCTTGCTATATTGGTCTCCAAATTTGCACAGATTGGTCCAAACGTCTCTGTATCCGCCAATGCACGTATAGGAGCAGGTGTCCGGCTGATCAACTGTATCATTCTTGATGGCGTCGAAATCAAGGTATAGTAGAACACTCTTGTTTGGCCAAAAGACAATGAAACAGTAGCATTTTGGGGTCGGAATTAAAGTATATAAGACGGTCATTGTACAATTTCAGGAAAATGCAGTTGTTATTCACTCGATCGTAGGGTGGAAATGTTCCATTGGTCGGTGGTCACGTGTTCAGGCCGAAGGAGATCACAATGCAAAGCTTGGAGTCACAATTCTTGGTAACTTTCTTCTTCCAAATAGTGAAAACTCTCAAATTGTAGCATTTGTGATTAATAATGAATTGGGGTAAAAATGCAGGTGAAGCTGTTAATGTTGAAGATGAAGTAGTTGTGATCAACTGCATTGTGCTTCCAAACAAGACTCTTAATGTTAGTGTTCAACAAGAAATTATCTTGTAAAACCTTCATCCTCTCGATTATTAAATATCGTGTAATGTTTCCCGTTCACCAAACGGATGCTGCGCAAAACGTAGTTGCTAGCAATAACATGATGAAGTCGGTATTTGCTTGATAGTCTGTGTGTAAGTTTGATCATACAACAAGTGTTTTTATATTATTTATTCGAATCTTGTGATGGAGTCTGTATTTGGACATGAATCTAGTCTTAGAATTATGGTTTTTTAACCAATTTATCCAAAGTTGAAGCCCAAGTATGTATGGCCATCCTGTTCCTGGGTGAATGAATGAAGTCCATGGAATATTTGCAATACGAACTCTGGCCAAACTGGCCCGGGACCGGCCTAGGACCGGGACCCGTGAGGACCGGTTATGGTTGGACCGGTTACCGCCGGTTACGAAGAAGCTAAGGCCCGATTGGGACCTCCCCGGCCCAGCCCGGGACCGGTTTTTGGCCATCACTAAACTCAATGTCACACTTGACAAATTGGTCATCTTTGATAATAAGAACACTATTGAACTCTTTCATGTTTACAAAAATGGAATCTGTTTTCAATCTCAAAACAAAAGAAAGCATGGTTGAATTTAGAGTAAATTACGGATTTGGTCCCTATGGTTTGGGGTTTATTATGGAATTGGTCTCTCAACTTCTTTGCTACAGAATATTACCTTGGTATTTTGTTATGGGTTTGGTAAATGCCTTTAACGGCCGTCTACTGTTTCTGTTAACTACGAGGGCAAAATGGTCATTTTACCATTTGTCTCCATTTTTGAATTTTTTTAGTTATTTTTTTATCATTAAATCTTCATCCTTCTGAGGTGTTAATATCATGTCATGGATCCCTCCTTCCCCCTCCCTTTGTAAGGCATTAATATCATGTCATGGTCCCTTTCTTTCCCGACAACTAACTATCTTCGACCCTCCCTAGTCCCCACACATCTCTAATGCGCATCCATCCGGTTTTGGGTTATTAAGGGCGGTTTACCAAACGCTTGCTCGGGTAAGCGCTTATCAAATAATATTATCTTACCGGATGAATATGGTAAGGACCGAGAATTTTACACGGTAAGAGCGAGACAAGAACCAAGAGTCTTACCCGATAAGTGAACTCTTACCACAGTAAGCGTTACCGGGTAAATTGTTGCATATGATGTCGTTTTGGTGGACTAAAATCCTATCCGGTAAGTAAATAATAGTGTTAAATTTTACGGAACCGGCTCCTAAGAGTTTGGAACATGAAATACAAGTGGCTATGAAGGACGCCATTAAAGCATCAATGCGGGGCATCGATGATGTTGCAGAACCCAAGGCTTTTCTTTTTATAGTGAACCAAAGCGTTGAGGGAGCCCAACTTGATGTCATAGAAGTTGTAGTGTCCACCATGGCCAATTTTACTTCAATTTATTGATTTCGCTTTATGCTTCTTGGTTTAATCAATATGAGGTTCCACCACCACCAATACCATTTTGGATTCGAAATCAATGAAGCAGCATCATTGAGAAACAAAAGCAGCTCTGTAAGTGAAACACCCGTAATTCCGTTGTTACAATTAAAATACAAACGGTTGGAGAATAATCGAGGAACAGCTGGTTGACGCGACACGGCCCGCGGCTATTTGGCACTGTTTCGGGCATGGGCGACTTACGTCACGGCCAAGGCCACGAGAAGGGCCTAGAACATTTTTTAAGCCCGATTTTTAGGGTTTTCACTCATTTTCTTCTACCATCTTCCGTCCCCTCTCTTGGCGAATTTGACGTTTTTGGAGGAAATGGAAAGGGGAACCTTGGAGATTGAAGATCTATGATGGGAGGTTTCACGATATTGACGAGGTAGGTGCTTGGACGTTTAAGCTCCATTTTGGGGATTCCTCTTGGATCTAAACTTGTGGTTGGTAGGCATGATAATGAGACCTATCCCATTGGGGAACCCCATATACCCGCCCTGTAGGTGTCCGGGATTCCCCAAAAAATCGGAGATCGAGGATGGGGACAGGGATACCTAAAAGTTAAAAACCGGATATGGAGACGGAGCAGGGGTAACGTTCCATCCCCATATATTAAAGATGTTATATATTATTACTAATATAGTCAAATGTTATTTTGAGAAATGGTAAATATTTAAGAAGTAAATAAGTGATTTTAGGCCTTCATACGATCAATATTGGATTTGACTAGTCAATAATTGCAGCTTTGACTGGTCAATAATTACAGCTTTGACTGGTCAATAATTACAGCTTTGACTGGTCAAAAATTGCGGCTATGCGAAAAATAGAGAGGATAGTTTCGTAGCTTTCACAAATAGATGTCAGACAGGTTCATATATGAACCTATGTGATTCACATGAAACTATATGTTCATATGTGAACTCGTGTAATTCACATATGAACTGTTTTAACTAATTCACATATAAACCATTGTGATTACACATGAACTTTAACTGATTCACGTATGAACTCATTAATTGATTCACATATGAACTAATTGACTGATTCATATATTAATCTATGGGTACAATAGATTAAATAGTTCACATGTGAACTATTTAACCGGTTCACATGTGAACGTACAGTTCATATGTGTATCACATGGTTCATATATGAACTCGTTTGCCCCCTATTTGTAACAATTGCGAAACTATCCCTCTATCTTCCGCATACTCATACGATAAATCAACCTGTGTTTCATCGTCAAAGATGCAAATGTTGACCAGAGCCAGGACCACTTCTTTAATTTCTCAAATTTTACCACTCAAATGAACCTTTCCTTACTAATATATTTATTATTTATTATTACATATATTGTATTTTTATCATTAAATATATTATTTTTTAAAAATAAGATTGCGTATTATATAGATTTACAAAGAGTATTTTGATCATTCTTCTTATATACAATTTTTCTAACTTGTCATACCTTTTTTAGATAAAAACAGATAGCCAAAATTATTTCATCAAACAATTACGTATGATGCTTTGATTTTGTTCATATATGAATATTTGATTCTCCGTAAAAACAAAATTTTGGAAATATGTGAGATGTAAACATGGACCATTATTGATCAAATATAGTTTTTAACACATTTGATTTAATATCTCAAATAAACTGGGGG